CGCCGCTGCCAGGTGCGGTGCTCCGGGGCTTGTTCCGCAGGCGGGCGCAGAGCCCGGAGCCGAGGCCTCGGAAAGGGCTCCGCTGAACGGAGACTCCTCCCTACCGAAACGATAAACCTGGCACAAACCGCCGCTGCCGGCAGCGCCCGAACGTGTGGCGCGGTACCGCGTACCCGCTCGCACCTTCCTTCCCAGAGGGGAATGAGCAGCATCTCGGCTGCTCCCTGGGGACAGAGGTGCCACCACAAGTTACGGAGGGGTACCAGCAACCCCTCCTGGGGGTGGCCGGGGCTTGCTTTTATCGGTGTGCCTAAACCGGTAGAACTTAACCGGAGTCGCAGAGAACAGTCCTTTTGTCTGTGCATAATGCTTTTAATACCAGTTTTATAAAATAGTCTTACCTGACGTTACAAATAATAAATGACCCTAGCTGAGTTTAAAATCTCAACTCCTAATAAAACCCTATAACTTTTAAAATACTGTACTTAAATTGCACGGTTTGTACAACTTGTACATTACTAATACTGGCTGCTGAGTTTGAGAGATTCTGGACCACCAAACTGATGGAAGGCTCACAGCAAATATGTTTCTTGGTCTCTGACTGAAAAGAAGCAATTTAAGTCTATTCTCATTTGCTAATCCTTACGGTTTGGGGGGTTTTTTGTGTGTGGCTGCTAAGTCTATTCTCATTTGCTAATCCTTACGGTTTGGGTTTGGGGTTTTTGTTTTTTTTTTTTTTGTGGCTGCAAGGTAAAAGAGTAATTGCAAACTTGGTAAACTCAAGTGCCCTGTATGGGGTTGAAGGGTTTTTGTTAGGCAGACTGCACAGTGATGAGGTGTAGATTCGTTCAGAAAATGTGTCATTTCAACACAGGAAGACACAGCTGGACTAGGAGTTTGCAGACTCTCTCTGATAATAAAAGTTAGCGTTCTTGTGTTTGTGTGTTGGTAAAGCCTATAAAAACTGTAAGATGTGCCTGTATTGACTTTGCAGAGAAAGCTGTGAAATAGCCCAGCTAATAAATACAAAGAGCATCAGGTATCAGAGTTAGTCAGAGAGAGGACTGATTAATACTGCACATCGTTCATGTACAGCTGTAACGGATTCCAGCCATACTGCCTACTGCAGGACTGGAATATGCTTAAATATGCAGTGATTATGTTAGCATAAACCTGTTCTGCATGCAGAAGAACATAGCAGCAAACTGTTTTCTGTGAAATAAAACATTGCTCAGTAATAGTATGTAAATAGTCCCAGTTTTCTTTCTCAGTTACAAGGGCATTTATTTTTCAGTCGATCTCCTAAACAGCAATAGATCTGAAAGCATAATTACAAATGTGTATCTATAGAAGCTTAATTAGCGTTTGTGTCTGGAATGAAGTAAGGAATTTTACTTGGCTGCAAAATCTCATGGATATTTCTTTCTGGATTACTTCTCAGATAGATCAGTTTCCCCATTTGATTCACCTTGTGACCAAAGTCTTATGCAAAGGTATTGTAGGGACAGGAACCTTTTTAGCAGTAATGCTGCTAAAGAGCTAACCATGAGCTCAGTTTTTCCACTGGAAGAATTTTAAAAAGCATTAGTAAAACCCACTTTTTTTTGTTGCTTACTGATTCATTAATACTCTATTTCTGGCTTTCAATTGAGGAAAATGTGATATAAACAAAACTAATCATTTAATTACTTATGCAAAGGATAATGCTCCTATGATGAAATGTAGTAAAGCTAATAGGATACAGCAGGAATGGAAAATCCGGGAGAAAATGCTGGAATATTTTCAAAATGCATAATTACCAGAACTAGAATATGGCCAAGAAACCAGGAGGCTAAAAATAGCATCAAGCTGTATGTATGTATGTATCAAATTTGCCACAAGATCTTTAGAAACCAGTAGTAATTCTTCAGAAAAACAAAGCAGAGATACTGTACTGTGTCTCTTCACACCTTGCACCTATAGGAGCGTTAACACCTACCTACTGCAGTGTTGCAGTAGCAAATTACTCTTTGCGGCTTGCACATCTTACATTTCGGGATTTGACAAGATCAAAACAGGCAACACAGCCGTGGAGATGACACATGTTTGCATTTTCTGCTGAAGTTATGGCCTAACCAAGGTCATTTTTTTTAATGCTGCTTCTCTTTTGAAAGTATTTTAAAGGCTTCTGAAGGTACAGGACAGAAAGCTTAGAAATGCTGTGGTGGCATTTCTTTATGAAACTATTCTCCACCTAGAAATACTATTTTTCTGGCTCTTATCTTCAATGTGAGTTTGCTCTGGTGTGTAATGATAGTTTTGTTTCACTCACAAAGGTTACATGAGAGCCAACATAATTTTCAGACATTGCCAAATTATGAGCAGCACATCTTTTGTGAATTACTGAATGGTGGAGCTAGATAGGGCCAGAAATTCAGAAATTTCCAGTGCACTGCCATTAACTATAGCCATGTATTCTACAGAACTGTCATTGCCATCTTGTGCATGATACACTTCAGAGCCATAGAACAATCATCCACTCAGCATGTTCCTTTTTGACCCTCACTAGCATATTCAGAAGAGGATCTGTTTGAGGAAGCTGATTTTGAAACTAAATTTCACGTCACTCCAGAGTACTAAAATCGGTGGATTTAACAAAGATGCTGACATGAAAGTCCATCACAATCTACATAATCCTTGTAAAGCAAGGTTGACTAACATTCATTCCTAGACCCTTTTCGTACGAATGATATAACTGACCAAGAACTAGAAACATCTGCTTTTAACCTGCAGATTCCCTTGGATTTTGCTGCTGCTTTGTCACATCTGATGGCTGCATTCATGATTGCATGGTCGCTTCACTTGGGCATAAGGGCCACCAAAGGGGAGGTTTGGCGCTTTCCTGACATATCTAGCAACGTAGTCCTGTTACTTCCAATGTAACACCACCAGCGCTGGTACAGTCGTGTGCTGTGCTTGTGTACCTCACGGCAGCCATAGTAACAGGAGGGAGGCTCACCGCTAAGAGGAAGCGGTTGGTAGGACTCCTTTTATAGCAGCCAAGACTGATAATCCACCTGACGTGACTGGAATCATATCTAAAGTCACTGATGACCTATTTACATTTAAAATGACTAGTTAGCGTTCTAGTTTGAAGTGGCAGATAAGCCATTATCTCTGAAATGCATCTACTAGTTATCTCCTTGAATCTGCAAAATAAAACTTTTTAGAAGTGGTATCTGACAGTAGGTATCTACTAATAGCACTGCTGTATCCTACTGGGTGGAAAAAAGAATGGCCGATGTTAATTTTCTTGTTCTTCTTAGGTATCTATGTGCCAAGTGTTAAGTGAACAGTGTCTGTTTCATTTTTCTTTCTGCATCCTGATGCTATAAACCATGTCACCTGTATATAACTAAATCTTCATTAGCACATTAAGATTGGGTGTTTTATGATGAGTCACTGGAAAAATAACATCAATACTATACAATTTGATTCACTACTCAAACATGCTGAAACAGGAGTGTGGTCTCTTCATTGACTCATGTAGTTTTGCTTATCTACAGTTGTAAACTATTTTGTTAAGGATATAGTTATTTTTCTTAGGAAGGAACATCTAATCCAACTGCCAGTATTCTAAAATAGCAGGAAGATTATCCTTGACACTGGAGAAGATTCTTGTCAAACAAATGGAACTATTAGTCAATGGATTCAGGGCCAAATCCTGATTTTATGTTGCTATACACATCATTGTCTTTGGGTCAGCTTTTCAGTGGGGTGGAAGCTGAGAAGGTCCTTAGCAGAGCGGAGTTCCACTACAGCCATTTCACTGAGAATTAAAGGAGTATCTTGCACCCATGCTGGATAAAAGGAGGAAGAAAGTACAGATTAGTGCCCACCAGCTGATACACTCCCCATTCCATTTACGCTGAGTTTGTATGAAATGGAGAATCCAGACTCTCGGTGTCTGTGACAGCCATCTGTATGTATCCAAAGGTAAGTATGGCTTTCATTTACTACATCAATTTTCCTCCACAATTCAAAACAAAAAAAAAATACACAAGTGAAACAAAAGCTCTTTTTGTGTTGGGTTTTTTTTTTATTGTTTTGGGCTTACCAAAGGAGTAAAAAACTGTATGTGAGCTAATTTATGTCCGAACAGATGATCTGCATTAAAATTTTCTCAAGTAATAGGTGGTTTCATCACATCACTGCTTTTTGTATTGGTGTCTTCATTTGCAGAAATACTTTGCACTGACAGCATCATCATATTCATAATGTCCTTTTTGGGGTTTTCTTCTAAGTCAGTTTCTATTGCTCCAACTTCTGCTAGTTTCCATTCAAGCTCTGTAAAAACAAATGACAATTTATTTTGATAATTGCAATAAATTCTCACTAAAGAGGAAAAGGACTTTTTTTAAAAAACAAGCTTCATCTCAACAACAAAGAACAGCCATCCTTGCGACAATCCAACTATCTCAGTAAAATATCTGAGAAATTGCAAAATACCCATGTTTATCCAATATTCTTACCACAGAATTACATAAATTATTTGCTTTTTGTAGACTTCTACGAAAATATTCAAAAACCTTTTCCACCTTTACGCAATGATCTTTAGCTCCAATGATTACAAACAATATAAAATTTTCTGTAATGTGAATTATTTAAAAATATTTCTCATACCTTCCACTTTAAGATACATTCCTCCACATTGTGCTACTCCAATGAACCTGCCTTTTATTTCACCAGTTTTATATACAAGTATTGTGGGTAAATAGCTGTCATAGTACTTCTGAATGCAGCTGTTTACAATGGCTTTGACAAACTTGACTGCTGGAAACTTTCTGGCTAGCAGGCTGAGATGTTTGTTAACCAGTAAACACATTGGGATGCTAGAAAAGAATAAGAAAGTATGATGACATTGCGGTGTAAATGCTTTGTAAAATAACTAAAGTTCTTAAAAATAAAGCCTTCAAAGAGTAAATGTGCCTTTTCCTGTAGTCTGCTTCTACTTTAATTTGTTACAAGAATTGCACCACAAATTTTATTTAGCTTCTTCTAAGATCATTGTGATTTAAAGAGCTTTCAAGTAAAAATTTTCAATGCATATGTAATAGGCACAGTCTATAAAATGTTATTAAGCTACCAGACACTTCAAGCATTGTGCCTCAATTTTGTTCTCCTCGCTAAGATTTTAAAGCTCATTCTGTCCATTTATTGTAGAGTTTAAATTAGATTTTTTAATCTGTAATATACATTTTACTTTATTTGAACTGGCTTTCAGTTTAATGTTTAATTACTTCTTCATTCTTTTAGTAAAATCTAAGTAATGTTAGGGAAACCTTTGTATAGTCATATTACCACCATACGCCTGTTCATTACTTTCATAGCTCCTATTTGCAATGCAATCACCATACAAATCTCAGTTAAGAAAAAATAAGAAACCAAAGCAACGGGGTTTTTTTGTTCCCCTCCAGCCTGTTAACCTTTTAGAAGTTAAGATCTTTGTTGTAACTGACTGTTGTGGTTTAACCCCAGCTGGCAACTAAGCACCACACAGCCGCTCACCAGTGGGATGGGGGAGAGAATCGGAAGGGTAGAAGTGAGAAAACTCATGGGTTGAGATAAAGGCAGTTCAACAGCTAAAGCAAAAGCTGCACGTGCAAGCAAAGCAAAACAAGGAATTCATTCACTGCTTCCCATCGGCAGGCAGGTGTTCAGCCATCTCCAGGAAAGCAGGGCTCCATCACGTGTAACGGTTACTTGGGAAGACAAATGCCATCACTCCGAATGTCCCACCCTTCCTTCTTCCCCCAGCTTTACATGCTGAGCATGATGTCATATGGTATGATGGAATATCCCTTTGGTCAGCTGGGGTCCCAGCTTCTTGTGCACCCCCAGCCTACTCACTGGTGGGGTGAGGTGAGAAGCCAAAAAGGCCTTGACTCTGTGTAAGCACTGCTCAGCAGTAACTAAAACATCCCTGTGTTATCAACACTGTTTCCAGCACAAATCCAAACCATAGCCCCATACTGGCTACTATGATGAAAGTTAAACTCTATCCCAGCCAAAACCAGCACATTCTCCACCCCATATTTCATACCATTTACGTCATGCTCAGGTCTCACACTATCCAATACATTCTCATTACTTACCACCACCCTTCCCATCCTTTGATATAATACACAGATATCATTCCCTTAGTCTATGGACCACCCTTGTAAAATGGCTGTAAAATGCCCACTGAGTTCATTTAGTCCATGACTTTGGGCTCCATCTGTTAGTTACGGTGGTCACTCAGGACAGTAGAGGGGGTGTGTTGTGTGGAGTTACTGGGCACCAAAGCCAGCACAGGCTGGGTCACTGCTGCGCTTGCACTGCTTCTTGTAAGCCTTGTCCTCTGTTGGTTCAGGTGATTCCTGCTATAGTAATTCCTATAATATGCAACTCAAATCAAGGCCCATACTAGCTACTGTGAAGAAAACTAACTCGATCCCACCGAAAACCAGCATACTGACTGAAGTTAAAGAAGCTGATTTAGCCTATGGACTCTCAACGAGTTCCAGCAGCACCCTCTCGTGGCCAAATTGTTGCCAGCCATAAGAGTCTTCGGAGATCTCTCATTCATTCCTAAGGAATTTCAAGTTTCCTCACAGACTCGTATTTATACAATGATAAAGTACAGAACTGGTTCTCCAGTAAACAAAAAAACAATGAAAAACAAGAAAATCTGCTATTTTCTTTCTTCAGATCTGTAAATTTAAATTATTGTAATTTGAACAATTTCATTTCATAGAATCATAGAATCATAGAATACCAGGTTGGAAGGGACCTCAAGGATCATCTGGTCCAACCTTTCCTGGCAAAAGCACGGTCTAGACAAGATGGCCCAGCACCCTCTCCAGCTGAATCTTAAAAGCATCCAGTGTTGGGGAATGCATCACTTCCCTGGGGAGATTATTCCAATGGCTGATTGTTCTCATTGTGAACAATTGTCCTCTTGTGTCCAATCGGAATCTCCCCAGGATTAACTTGTATGCATTACCCCTCATCTGTTCCATGTGACTTCTTGTAAAAAGGGAGTCTCCATCTTCTCGGTAGCCACCCTTTAGGTACTGGAACATGGTGATAAGGTCTCCCCTAAGCCTTCTTTTCTCAAGGCTGAACAAACCCAGTTCTCTCAGCCTTTCCTCATACAGCAGGCTTCCCAGTCCTTTGATCATCTTTGTGGCCCTTCTCTGGACCTTCTCCAGCCTGTCCGCATCTTTTTTGTATAGTGGGGACCAAAACTGAACACAGTATTCCAGGTGTGGCCTGACAAGCGCTGAGTGAAGTGGGATAATGACTTCTTTATCTCTGCTGGTGATGCCCTTGTTGATGCAACCCAGCATCCCGTTGGCTTGCTTTGCTGCAGCAGCACAATGTTCACTCACATTGAGCTTGTTGTCCACCAGGACCCCCAGGTCCCTTTCCACAGAGCTGCTCCCCAGCTGGGTAGATCCCAGCCTGTGCTGCACTCCTGGATTATGTTTTCCCCTTAACCTTTCCCCAAGACCTTAAACTTGTCCTTGTTGAACTTCATAAGGCTCTTGTTAGCCCACTCTTCCAGCCTATCCAGGCCTTCCTGCAGGGTGGCTCTCCCTTCCAAAGTCTCCACTTCCCCACTCAGTTTGGTATCATCGGCAAACTTCATCAGGGTATACTTGATCCCATCATCCAGATCACTTATGAAGATATTAAACAGCATTGGGCCCCGTATCGATCCCTGGAGGAACCCACTTGTGGCAGGTTGGCCATTTGAAAAGGAGCTATTTACCACCACCCTCTGGGTGCAGCCTTGTCGGCCAGTTCCCCACCCACCGCACAGACCACCTGTCTAGACGCGCAATTTGGTTGACCTATTCCTGTTGCTCCTGGAAATAATATTCAATTCCTGACAACTGAGAAGAATCAAAGAAGCTTCCTTCTCCCAACTGGCTTAAAAAGAAGGAAAAGAGAAAGCTGGTCTGAATCTAAAAAAATGCATTAAACATTCCGTACTAATTCTCAGTGCTTTTGAAAAACATCTCATAGAGTTGCTAACATACGATGAACTTATCATGGCAGTCCTTTGACATTTCTGCTCTATCCTGTCACAACTTCTGCTACCACTAGAGAATTTATTGGGGAAACTGGTAAACTAACAAATTCCCTAGCTTTCCTCAGTTTTCCTAACTGAGGCTTTTCCTGTTGGGCTTTTGATTTGTTTGAGTCAAAGGGGAAATAAAGGTAGAATAATCCCGTGAGAGCACTCCTGCTGCAAAAAGAGTCTGCAAACAAACTTCTGTTAGCACAGACAGTGGACACCACTTTCTCAGTGAAACTCAGAAATCTCAGTGAGGTTCAGTACATGGTGATAACACACATAGCAAAAGAAATCTTTCATATAATTGAACAAAAGTGAAGTGATTAACTCTCACAAAGTGCATTAACAAATCAAGGGGGTCCCATGCTCTATGATTGCATTGCCTCTAAACAACTGCTATTTCATTAGTCTATTGTATTTCATTTTTCCCAGTACTGCTTCTTAATTACCAGTTCAATTCTCTGTATTGAAGTATTCAGCATCTTAAACAAGAAAGTAATTACCTTGACCGATAAAGATGAATTATAACCCAAACATCCTCTGGAGCATTTGTAACTTCCTTTACATACTGGTCTCCGCAAATTTCTCTTAGCTCCCCATACTTTTGCATCCTCTGAAGACATTTCCATTCTTGCAAGCGTTGCTGCCTAATTAAAAAGTAATAATAAAAATAAGCATTTGGAGTATTTTAAATGTATTTTAAAATAATATCTAGTGCTTTTCTCTCAATTACTTTAAAAAATGCATTGAGTAACCCTTTAACAAGGTCTTCTAATGTACTTTCAGAGCTAGAAAAGCTTCTATGCTCATCTTTATTCAATGAGATAACATTAAAATACATTTTCTTAATTTTATGTTCCTCAGTATCAGATCTGGGAAACTTGAGTAAAAACATGTTGCACAAGGGTTTATCATTTGAGACAAAGAAACAAAAATTAAAGCAGGTACTAATTGTTTTTCTGATGAGATTAGTTTGAGGAAGAACTACCAGTACTTATACTAATATTTACGAGACAATTTAAAAATAATTCATGAAAACTGGAATGTAAAAACAGTAGATGGCAGTCTTCATCTATAAAAATACTTGCAAAGTAGAAAAGGAAAATGCCTTACTGAGATTTGTTGAACTAAAAGCAGCTGTTAATTTTACTAACTGAAAGCCACTATAGAAGTGGCTTTTTCAAAAAAGATTAAATAATACATGCGCAATGTTATTATACTCTAGCAACAGTGCATGATAATTTAGGTTCACAACTTCCACATAACTCTGTGAATTATTATCTTCCTATGAGAATACAGCACTAGATACACACTGTTAGCACTAGATACACACTGTTAGCACTAGAATTATTTTAGTCATTGTAACAATGCTGAAGTAGAAGGTAGAATCTAGACAGAGAAAATGTTTTGAACATAATGGCATTTTTATTCTGTGTAAACTGCATGTCTCATTTTTCTTAGTTGCAGTACAAAGCTCTGCAGAACTCAGCAGAGCACTTTGTAAAATACCTACAAAAACATACATGTGAATGTCCAGTATAGCTAAAATTACTAAGTCTCCAAACAAGCTGCCAAAGTCTTCTGAACCTGAATTCATAAAACGTATTGACTCTGCATGGTATTGTAGGTCAAATGATTGGTGTACTCCTATTAAATAGTTCAATAAGGTTGTGCCACAGTTATGCCAAAGAACAGTAGATGGTATATCACAGAATTACACAATCGCAGCATGGCTGAGGTTGGAAGGGACCTCTGGAGGTCCTCTGATTCAACCCCCCTGCTCAAGCAGGGTCAGCCTTGTGCAGGCTGCCCAGGAACATGTCCAGACAGCTCCTGAACCTCTCCGAGGATGGAGACTCCACAGCCTCCCTGGGCAACCTGTGCCAGTGCTCAGTCACCCTCACTGTAAAAAAGTGTTTCCTGATGTTCAGAAGGAACTTCCTGTGTTTCCATTTGTGCCTGTTGCCTCTCGTCCTGTCATTGGGCACCAGTGGAAACACTGGCTCTGTCTGCTTTATACCCTCCCTTCAGATATTTCTAGACATTGTTTAGATCTCCCCTGAGCCTTCCTTCTATATAAACTTCAAATTAATATTTTCATGAAGTAAGAAATAGAAAAGCCATTAAAATTAATCTTGGATAAGAAGCAAAATAAACACAATAGTTGTATATTAGGGTCCACAGCTGACTTGATAAACAGCTTTCAAAAACACACACGATTATCAACTACCACCATTCCAGCATAGAAACTGCAGTGTATGTTAGAGTGAAACTGTAATTCATAATAAATTTTACATTGAATTTTTATTTCTATAATGTATTTAGAAAGCATACTGTACCAGAAATGAGTGCTATCCAAAAGGCAGAGTGTTTTTCTTTTAAATATCCAGCTTTGAGACTAAATTAAGTATTTTTAAAGGGTAATAACTCTGTTCTAACAAAACATTGAAGTAAAACATAGTGTAAACTGCCTCTCTTTGCCCCTGACAATCAGGAAGATGTAGGACAGTAATGTGAGTGCTGTCTATCTGCTGGCAAAGGAGTGGAAGGGGAAAGAAGGCAGATGTGTCAGTCAGCAGACATTACTGTCCAAAAGATTCTGAGTTCGTGTTTCAGGAGCATGCACATGTACAGTATGTGCACTGTCAATCTGGATAGAAATATCTTACTATACCTATACATTTCAATAGCTTTCCTATCATCCTCATCAAAGTCATTGTCATCTTCCTTTAATTCTTCAAGATTCATTCTTTCATACGGTTTCACTAGAAACAACAAACAAAAAATTAGTCACCTTTTGCTCTCCACAGTGTCTTCAAACATTTTAAACATATGAAAAGTGTCACACAGACATGGAACTAATGAAAGAAAAAGATGTACTAATTTCAGAAATTAGTCAACTTTTGTATAGCTCTGGGTAAGAGAAAGGAAAAAATGAAACTTATTTAACTATAAGTACACAGGAAAATACAGAAATATGGGAGTGGATTACTACCAATTTTTCAGAATGTGAATCTTGCTTATACTGACTGGTTCCTTTACAAAATTATGAAAATGAGTTATCTGTACATGTTATATGCCATAATGTTTGTCACTAAGTGTGTTGTATATTTAATTCAGAATCCTTTTTAAAATAACCAAGTGAAAATAATTAAAATAAAAATATAATTATTGTACAATGCTTAAGTTACAAAAAGCATTATTGAAAATACCTCAGCTTTTCAAATTTTGTAATACTAGTGGTATGTATTTTTAATTTTACTTGCCTTCTGCTTCTTTCTGCAAGTGTAAAACCATTTCTTCAATTTCATCTTTTGGTGGAAGAATTCCAAAATCTCTCAGTATGTCATTCCATTCGGTATCTTCATTTGGATCCTGTTTTAATATTATGAAACAGAACTAAATCAACACATCAGTCTTGTGTGGCCTTTTTTTAAACCAAAACCAGCCCTTTTTCATTTTGGCATATATTAAGGATGTAACAAAAGGAAACCATTACTTAGAGGCTGCAATACCTTTGTGGACCATTCTCTAGCACTAATTTTCATTTTTCACTTCTGAACAGAAAACAGCAAGAAAATAAGAGAGAAAGAAAACTCAAAATGTAAGCATAGATAAAATAATCAGTCTCCAAAATAACAGCTAAAAATTGTCTAAAACATATATAGAAACCTACTTCAGAAAGCAAAAACTATACACTGCTTACTTAAACGCACTTAAAGAAATACAGCTTTATACAGGCAAGATTTTTGTATCAGTATTTTTATGTTACTACTAAAAATAAGGTATTGACACTGTGAATAAACATGTAAAAGCATGCCTAGAATCAGAAGAAAAAAAACTTTTTTATTTTAAATGAATGATTAATATTAATGTGTCAACATAAGCTACTTCATACACCATGTTTATAACACAGGACTTCTGCAGGTGTTAAGTCTACATTTGTGGTAATTTTAGTTAAATGGTTAAGATAAAGGAACTGCATGCTATTTATAAGACTGCATTTCTACTGAAATTGTCACATTAAAAGAGTCTGTTTATTGTAACTGGACTGGTGTTGGCATGGTAGAACAACACCATATTAAGAGGCCTCTCATATGGATTAGAAGTAGTAAAGAAGATTTTAAAACAGGTTCAAAGTGTATTTTTGGCCCTGAAATAACAACTTCTTTGAAAACCTTCATAAAGACATCTCTGTATAGATACTTAAATGTCAGAAACATTTAATGATATTCATAATTCCATAATAATGCAGCATCAAGTGAAAAAAAGTACATTACCAAAATTCCACCTGAGGAAACATCCAGGATTTCCATTGGATTACTACCATGCCCATGAGTACTACATTTGCCTTTCCAGCCACTGGCTGCCTCATTTTTATTCAACAAATCTCTTGTACAGAATTTAGCATAAGTATAATGATACAAATTCTAATTCAAATGTTACACATGCCTCAACAAATTTCACAAAGGTAGAAGAAGCGCTTTGCATTTTATGTGAAAACGCACTTGGGAAATCCACAAAGGGAGTAAATTAAATCATGCTACTGCTCATAAGAAAGTTAAGTACAGTGGGTTTGCAAGAAGACTCTTACCTCTGCCAGTTTCTTCTGGTATGAGTGAGGAAGCAAGACTTTGGAGGGTTTGGAGTGGGAAGGAAGTGGCAATAGTTATGAAGGTTCCTGCAACAGTCCTAATGCATGGGCTCAGCAAACTGTAGGCAATGGTACAGCTACCAATATTCACTACTAGTGGAGCACTCTGGCTTTCCAAACATCTAGTGCCTTTTTGCTAAGATAAAGCAGAGATTTCATACCTGATACTTTAATTTATTTCTTCTGCAAAGCTCTCATATCCAGATTTTGGACTAGAAATGACAACTCCATTGTAGTTAGTTAGTTATAATATTTGGAAAATTATTTTCTGTAACATTCCACCTCTAAGGACATGGTTATTTCATCACAAAGTCTTTCAAATATACTAGCAAACTTACTTTAACTTTACCCACATATGAAAACATAGATAAAGAATTAAGAATAAGTAATGTTTCCTCCTTCTTTGACTGAGAAGTAATTGATACAATGCATTGGAAAAAATAAAAGAGAAACTCCATATATAATCTAATGAGTTAGATGGTCACTAATGGGTCTGGAATAGGAAAAACCCAAAGGAAGATTTTGCTGTAGTATAATTTCCCAGGGTTTACTTAAATAAAAAATTCTTACAGTCAGTCTTACCGCATTTTTAACCCTTCACCAAAGAAGAACTTTGATGGAGGTACAGTCAGGGTATCAAAAAAAATCCACAGAACTAAGAGGACTACTCTTCCAAGGGAACCACTAAAGAAACATGAGTGATATACATGCACTTTGGCCTCCACACAGTGCTTTAATGTATGATTTCCTGACTTAAGTCAGGATCAGATTTCCCCACTTCACAGAATGCAAATCCTTCTTCACAGCAGACAGATTACAAAGAATCATGAGGCATTAGAAAACATAATAAAAATCATCATCATAACTGGACAAATAATTTCAAAACCACGCAACAAAAAGGACTACTGAAACAGAATTGGAATGTAGGTTAACTGGCCAGTTTTTGCCAGGAAAGGTCTTGGCATTTTGTTGTTTTCTGTAAATGTAGGTCCTGCATAAAAACTTTCCATGGTATTTTTACTTAAATAGTGTATTTTATCCTATTTCTATTTAATTTTTGTAACATTCAATAGGTTTGTATAACAATTTGTACATTGGACATTTTCTAGATGTTGTTACATCTACAAAATATAAAAGCAAAAAAAAAAAATTGGATCAAGCATCCTAGACCACAGTAAGCGTAACAGAACCAGGTATATCTCTGATAAATCCGAACTCCAGTCTCAGGGAAGATCAGAAACCAGCAAACCTTAAAAATTTTTTAACAAATTGAGTTAATGTTCAAAAAGCTGGTGTTAAGTGATTAGTTCAAGGTTGCAGTAATATGCACAGATGAAATAAATGAAAATGTGCATCAAAAACTTCAGAAGATACTTGATCGTAAGAGTGCAAAGGAGCCAAGCAATGGCAAAAGTGATCCAGCTTAAATTGGTTTCGGAGTATGAAGCTAGACTACTGAAGCAGCAGTTTTACTCTACTAGCAGGCCACAATCCCAAGTGAAAACACTTCTCATGGCAATTCTCAGTGCTGCCAATGATAAAGCTAATTACCACGAGCTTTGCCAGGGGTAATGCATAGATCAAGTTTGGGAACCCACAGGCTGGATAACTTCAATCCTGAAGTATAAATAATACCTCTGGTAAAGTTAATTTGCAGTTCTGGGGGTTTTTTTGGTGAATGATATGAAACAGATTCTCAATTACGTTTTTAAAATATGCTACACCTATGACTGTCCAGCTATCAAAGTGTAATATTTTATTATTCTTACAGGACAGTAATGATGGTTAATTCTTAACCATTATAAATTCTTTTTTTTCTTGTGCGAATACATCAGGGAACTCTGATGTATTTGCACAAGAAAACCCACATAAACTGCTCTCCCGTTTTCCGTTTCTTGGGACCCCACAGGGGCTGGGAAGGCTACGCAGGCCCAGGGCAGCAACACCGGCTCTCTCTGCCCTGCGGGGCCCTGTGGCAGGCTCGGCCGCACTGAGGGAGCCCTCCTCGGTGGCCAGCTTTGCTCCTGCCCTCCCTGCCACCTTGCCCTTCTCCCTCTGCCCAGCGGTTGCCTCAGGCAGCACAACGTGGCTCTGGCAGCACCCACCACCCCTCTCGGCCCCAACCGCTGCCCACCTGCAGCCTCCCCCATTTCCTTGGCGTGTCCGCCCCAACTCCCTCATCGCCCTTGGTCTCAGCTCGGGGCTGGGGGGACCCTCTGCGCC